AAACCCTAAAAAATGGCTTTCTGAGTGATTTTTTATACAAAAGTCTATTTTTCGAGGAAAATTTCAAGAAATGTCGATTTTGGACCAAATTTATGGGCAAGTAGGTGTTCGGTTGTTCACAGACTCCCATTATTTTTGCAAAGAAATGGCAGTTTGCCTTGATCGAAACCCTGAAAAATGCTTTTTTCGGGTACTTCCCGTACAAAAGTGTCATTTTTTTAAGGTTTATCAGGTCCTCAGTCGGAGGCTTATGGTACGAAATTGGCAAATCAGAATGGGCTCAAAATCAATCCGAAGCTTTGTCTCGACATGCCAAAACTTTTGGCTCTTACAGATCTCAATTATCTTGTCAACTTTTTGAGATAATCGGCGAACAAAAAACGCGGACGCGGACGACGCCATACACATATCGCAATTTTGCTCATTTTTCATAGTAAACAACATGTGTAGGGGCATTTCTCACACAAACAATTTGAGCAAATGTGCAAAAATGTCTATTATTTCTTCTATTCTTTCTTTATTGAAATTGTAAGAAAATGTACTGAAATGACGATATTGCTTGAAGAAAAGTGTTCTGGAAGTAGGTTTTAGTGAATCTCGAGGATCGTTCAGAACTGCTCCCGATTCTGGAAGTGGGTTTTGGTGGATCCTCAGGATGGACCAGATCCGGTTTGACAATGCCCTGGCCCATCCTGAAGATCCACTTCTAGAACCGGGAGCAGTTCTGAACAATCATTGAGATCCACCAAAACCCACTTCCAGAACATAAGTTCAGTGTAAATGAACATTTTTTTACACGAATTTATAAAAATTGATCGAATCGGACCAAACGGAAGAAATTTTTCAAAATTTATAAGAATTCATTCATTCTTTTCGTAAGAAATGCCCCTAGCAACATGTTTTTGGAGGCAGATAGGTCTTGATCGATAGCATTTGTTCCCATCTACATTGCCTAGTGTACAGATATGTGCTTTTTGAAGTTTGGCGTGACGTTATAGTGGTCCGAAAGAGGAGATGTCATGAAATTTTGGCTAGTAAAACCAATACTTTTCCATACAAACAAAGTTTGCGGAAAAGTAATAATAGCCGACTGCAAACGTTCAACCATTTTCCCAATAAAGAAGAAAAAACTTCTCGTGACCATTTTTTGATCAACCAACTTCTTCATATCTGCAGCATTCAGATGACCTAAACGAAAATGCCAAGTTGTTTGTGATGAATTATCAAAATTTTTCTCACCACTAAATCCAGCAAAACTTTCATGGTCAATTTTGAAAGTCACTTCGCACAAACGATCCTCGCAAACCGCAACAAAAACTTTTTCTCCGTCAATTGACACTTCAGCTGTATCACCTTCAAAAACGACACGATACCCTTGCTTTGTCAAAGCGCGAACTGAAATCAAATTGCTTTGTAAATCCTTTACATACAGCACATCTTTGATAATTCCTTTCGAACGATCATTGTCCAGCTTCACGTGAATATCGCCCTTTTGATTCGTGCATAAACTTGCATTACGTTTGGCAACAGAAATGTTTATCTCATCAGTTCGAGTCAATTCTTTGAAAACATTCTCATTCTTTGCCATTGGCTCAGTAGCACCCGAATCTAATATGAATGTGATATGCGATGCGTCACCAGTTTTCGTCGTTGCTTTGTGCACACTGTTTGCGTTCATGTCCATGCCTTTTGTGTGCATAACGGTTTCGTTGACTGTACTTTTGCTGTGCACGCGCTCAGTCATAGCGCTCATGGTAAAAACGTTTCCCTTCGATTCCGTAGCATTTGCACTACCTTTGTCCGATGAATTCTTATTATTTTTCCATGACTTTTTGGATTTATTACTCTTCTTCTTCGATTTACACTGGGATTTAATATGGCCTACCTGACCGCACCCGAAACAAGTGATATCCGTACTCATCGCAGCAGTCGTCGATTTTCCCTTCGAATTTCCAGCTCCTCCATCACATTATGAGTGAATTCAAAAATAATCATTCAAATATTGTTTCATTTGCAGCTAAATGGATTGACTGATTTACGAGCAGTGGTTGAATGTGTCGCAAGAAAATCCACCGAGAAAAGATATGCGGAATTCCCTTTGCTATTGGAAAAATGGCAGGAGCTAAAAGATTTAGTCAGAATTTTAGCCATTCCATACAAAGCCACGGTCGATTTACAGGAACACAATCTCACGCTGTCGGATGCATTTGGAATTTGGATTGAAGTCAAGTTGCGTCTGCAAAGAACCATGGAGAACCGCACAAGCAATACGGGATTGGCAGGAAATCTGCATACTGCATTTGTTAATCGATTCAATGCCATTTATCAAAACCAAGCAATGAAAGCAGCAATATTCCTCGATCCACGCTATCGGGGCAGTCTGGTTCGTGATCAACTTTCTGTTGAAACCGCCAAAGAATTCATGAAAGAAATGCACCAACGTCTGGGCTACCTGAGAGAAGCCGATAAGCAAACCGTTCGCCAAACAAACGATGAAAATTCAGGCGATGATTTCGACATTGAACTCGCGATGAATGAATATTTCCAACGTGATGCAGGTTCTTCAAATTCGAATCACCTAAGCGATATTGAAGCTGCAATTGATGCATTTGACCCTCCACACATGCAAATAAAGGAGAATCTGTTTGATTATTGGGGTGGTGAAGGCACCGGTGATAATGATCTGCATGCAATCGCAATGGCGATTTATGCCATTCCACCAACAGAGACGCAAACTGAACGTAATTTTTCGGATTTAAAGCGGATTCTATCCGACTTTCGTGGAAATTTATCGCGCCAAACTCTTGAAAATATCCTAACATGTCATCTGAATAAAGATTTGTATTTGGATGTTATTGACAAGCAATTAAAAATTATCCGAAAAAAATAAATAGAAATTACACATAAATCCTATCTTAAATCGCAAAAGACAATCATAATTTTTGTTGGTAACTTTTATGTGACATTCGATCAAATCAAACTGAACATATTTAAATCAATATAAATGTCTTTTTTTTCATTTTATTTCATTTACACGCATTTCAGAAGATTTAAATAAAGATCAAAAATAAAAAAGAATAGTAGTATTTTTAAATTGTTGTTGAATTGAATGAGGAAAAAAAATCACAAACAGAGAAACTTGACAAGTGATACACATAGCTGTGTACGAAGAGTGTCGATCGAAAGAAAAGAGCGAAACATATAAATGCATGCATCGCGCAGCTCATTGACGTCGTTCACAAACGACGGCACAAGCGATACACACACAGACATTGTGTTGACACACGAAGAGTGTTCAATGAAAGAAGAGAGCGAAACATGTGCATGCACGCTCCGCTCCGCGCAGCTCATCGTGAGTGTGTATAACGAAAAAACAGCGACTCTGTGTGTGCAGAATCGCTATTGAGTATTTATGCGTTTCGCTGAACACAACGCGCGAAAAATATTAGATATTTTTAGACTCTGAACATTGAACGCGTTGAACGTTGAACGCAATGCGTGAAAAATATCTAATATTTTTATGCGATATTTCTATGCCATATGAATAAAAATATCCCATAGTAATCTCTGATTTTAAGTTGCGTGAAACCCCTAGGACGAAGTATTTATGCTGATGTCAAGAATCGATTGTCACTTTGGTTGGGGCCGCCCTTCAAGTCTGGGGTGCGTGGGAGGTAAAAATTGAAAAAAAATCAAAAATACCCTAATTTGGGGTTGAAATTCAATTTACCGCCCAAAACTAATCACATATTTGGATTGCTCGCGAAAAGTTGACTATATGTCTCATACAACAAAAACCTGATCCGATCACTCCAAAGACTGTAAATCGCCCTTCAAAGACAAGGCCAAATACTGGAGCATGAATGATATAGGGTCAATCTTTGAAGGGCGATTTACAGTCTTTGGAGTGATCGGATCAGGTTTTTGTTGTATGAGACATATAGTCAATTTTTCGCGAGCAATCCAAATAGTGATTAGTTTTGGGCGGTAAATTGAATTTCAACCCCAAATTAGGGTATTTTTGATTTTTTTTCAATTTTTACCTCCCACGCACCTCAGACGTGAAGGGCAGCCCCAACCAAAGTGACAATCGATTCTTAACATCAGCATAAATACTTCGTTCATACATAGTTTCCTTCTAAAATGACTCTTTATTTATGAAAAATCCATGTTTAGCGAAAACTACCCCAAATCCAGTACTAACTTTGTATCCCAATAAAACCCCCCGCCCACAACCTCGGGCCGTGAAACCCATATATTATTGTTATACTCGCTGCCCCCTATCCATTGGTACCGGTCTCATTGCTAGACGCCATATGGCCCAAAACGGGACACAGTTCTTTCTGCGATACTGGTGCGAAAAAAGTATACTTTTTCGCGTAGCGCGAATAAAGTGATCCGCCCAATTTCATTGAAACAAGTGGTGCATTTCTGTTAGAGTATTGTGGGAAGATGTTAATTTTATGAATTTCTGCAGTGCACAAGAAAAAAAGTTGTTTGTACGGTGGGCTTTTGGTCTATCATCGTAGAATGCGACTCTTCGTACAAATTCCGTTCATTGATGAATTGCCTATGCCCAGATCTTCGAAATACGAATTTTCCCGGATATGTGGCATATGCCATTTTGTTGGTATGGTGGCCGGCTACAAACGCTCAGTTTTTGGTAAAAGATTGTCGGGCTGATTTTTGAGAAATCGCGTTTGGTGTGAAATTTAAGGGGGTCAATTTTCCATAAAAATCGACTTTTTTCTTTTATATCACATAAACATTGGCATGTGTGTATGGAACTTTTTGAAGGTCTTCTCAAATAATTACGAGCTGACTTTGTCTGAGTTGATCTAGTGCGCGAAATAAATACTTGAAAAAATCGTATACATGCAGGCTAGCGAAGCCATAGCCAGCTCTCCTGTAATGCAAATGTCAATCTGAGGACGGGTTTCGATGTGGCCCGACACCAGCTACAGCTTAGGCATATCGGCATCGGAATCTGTGGGGGTCAAAAAAGTTTCCGGACACACGGACGAACGGACGGACGCACAAATCAATACTTTCATAAAAAACCATGGTCAAACTGCCAATGCCCATAACTTTTTCGTTTCTGGACCAATCGGGCACTTAGACCGGCGTTGGAAAGGTGGCGAGGAGGAGCTTCTCTTGGACACCTCAGACCACCCCCTGGGTACCATCTTCGTAAGATATGGGTATAGATTTGAAAATTTATCGAAATTTTCCAACCGCTATATTTTTGCCCAGACCACATTTTAGGCATGGAGGATATGGTGTTTCCGACTATTTGGGCCAAGACCTTTCCAACGGTACCTAACATGCCGGGGCCCAAATAGTGTCCTGGGAAAATAGCATATTTACTGTATATATACTCGTGACGCAAAAACTGGCATTTTTGATATTTGGCTTAAAATCGAAGGTCCTGCATCTAAGCGTCTGACAGCTCACTTCTAGCGCTACGAGGCAAGTGTCAAAAGTTGTGACACAGATCGTTCAATGTATTATTATTTGAATCTTTTTTATATTTGTTAATAAAGTAGACAAAAAAAATAAAAATGTCACGAATGTGCAAAATTGATTTTTGTGAGAGCGTAGCACGTGATAAACATCAATTTTATAAGTAAAAAATGTTTCTTTCATTACGGAACATTGTTGATGCGTTCAATTTGTCGCGTTCATGAGTGCGTCTAACGACGTAAAGAATTGAAATGAACTTCACTGAATGCGCTCATCGCAAATTCGTGTTTTACTTTGTTTTGTTAGTGTGGTGCGGGGTTTGTGCTTGAAATGCACAGTTGTTGGAGCGTCACTTGTCGGACTACCGTCCTCCTTGATAGTAGATCTCAACCATTGTACAACTAGATGTAAGCATGAAGAAACCGAATAAATAATAATAATAATCCGCCAGAAGTTGTAACTATGTACCTATGGTTATGGGGTAGTGCGCGAACCAAATTTTATTAAGAAGTTGTGATGCAAAGTATATGTCATCTAAGCCACCAAATCGAGCGGTGTTCTTCATGCCCAGTGGAGATACGCCGGATGGCGAAATTTTTGAACCACCTGGCGATCCCAGCGGACTGGTTGTCTCAGAAACATATGGCAAAATCATGGGCATAAACCAGGGTGTAAATGGAACGTCAACAGGTGGTCGCGGAATCTTTCTTCCCATTTCTCTCTTCCTTGATTTTATCAATGATCCAAATTTAGATTGAATATAATGAACTTATCCTAACATTTCTTTTAATTTCATCGCTAAACTTATTGCAGAGCGTGGCGGTGAAGAAGTAATGTGCTTTTATTTGCAGATGTGTCATTTCCATTTCAAAGTTAAATAAACAATATATAAATGCGAATATATAAGAAAAGTGCATTTCATTTTATTTTCCATTGATCGTTGCGCAGTTATACGATCATCGTGGTTAGATAGGGTTGTTGCCTGTTGATGTTACATGTAATTTAACCACTGATTTGTGCAAAGAAATCGAACGAAAATCTGTGAAATGACGAGAAAACGTGTTTTTTATGCAAATGGCTTACATGATTTCGAGGATAAAAATGGGATTGGCCCAAACCGCCGGTTTATAGGCGAACTGCGAACCATTTTTGTGTTCCTGAAGAGATGGGAGACAGACACTTCATGCAAAGTTTAATGTTTAATCATTTCAAGATATTCATTTTTGCTTGTGAAACTGGCCTCCTATTTCTCACCAGGAACGCATATATGATTCCCATGTAATTAAGCGCATTTGGCTAATCCCATTTTTATAATCAACAACACATACACACATATGTACATGATGACCCTTCATCACGAATTGAACAAAAAAGTACTCTTAAAGTAAATTCATATCATCACTGTACACTCCAACATCACGTACAATAAATTCCTTTGGTGCACACGTATAGCTGTTGTTTTTTCATTCCATCTGAACAAACACAAAAGTGGTGTGTTGGGCTAAAGCCGTTTTCGAAAATGATTATTCGTTTATTGTGCGACGTTTCGCTCTTATTAGGAGCATCATCAGGCTGGAGAACAAAAATGTTCACAAAAAACAATGAGTAAGTGTTTAAACAATTGGCAACAGCCGAAAATATCCAAATTACGAACCAGTTACATGAACTGAATTTAAAATGTTTTCGAACGTATTCCATTTTTTCTATCAATTTCCACAAATTGTATCAGCTACACGTGTCCATCAGAAGGAATTTTGTTATTGAGTCAATTGTTATTTTAAATTTTTTGTTATTGAGCTTCATTTCGTGTCTGAATATGATTACACTATGCAACAACAAGAAACAACCACAGAGAAGAGAACTTATTTCCAATGTTTTTGGGCCCACTTAATCCAAATCTAGCGTTAGTTTGTCCTGGCACGTCTAGTTTTCAAGATACGTTCATTGCGAATTCCGTATTAGATTTGGATTAAGTGGGCCAAAAAAACCTTGGAAATGAGTCTCCACTTTCTGGGGGAATTTCGTTTTGGAAATTTGTTGCATAGTGTTAGTAGACCTCAATGCATGAATTCCATAATTGAAAAATACCAAATTTCATCAATTATTGATTGCATAGCACGTGTCAGCTATTAGTAGACGAATATTTTAAAAGAGGCAGCACCGCACGTGGAAGACCAAACGAATTCAAAGGATCTTCTAAAGAAGTACAAGACGGTTCTCTACTATCATTGTGCAACAGGTTAAAACTCTGTTTGGTTGGCAAATAAAAATGAATCTACTTCACGGTTTGTTTTCGGTGCTATTTATCGTTGAATTTTCGGTAAGTTTTTTTTCACTTTCATCCAATAAAATACGATATTTCTGTAGAACTAAAAGTGAACACGAAATTTCTTTTTCTAGGAACTTCAAGGAAAACGTAAGACATTTTTGGTTTTCGAACTAGCTTTTTATGATTCCAAAAGATTTTTTCAGACTTTTATAATATTCAATTCGAAATTTCAACTTTTTTTCTAATGAACAGATGGCTTTTTCTCGCAAGCTCTTCTTAAGGGCGAAGTGATTGAAAACATGTCACAGGCAAAGTTTGTAGCTGGAATCCATGCTCCCGCAAGTGAGTCTGCTTTAGAATCATTTTAATTTTTTTGTGCGTGAATTTTTGTCCGAAAAATTCAAATATTCTATCAATTTTGCTAGGGGCTGACCTAGGGGCATTTCTCACTTAAAAAATAGAACCATTCCAATAAATATTGAACAATTTCTTCCATTTCTATCAATTCGGGTAAATAGATACACATTTACACTGAATGTGTGAAATACGTTCGCAGTATGAAGCTTAAGTACGTAATACTTAGCATACTTAACCTTAAGTACGTACTTAAGCTTGATACGTAAGTACGTTAAGTATGTTAAGTACATACTTAAGCTTAGGTACGTACTTAAGATTTGTACTTGCTAACAGAACCGAATTTATGAAATTGCAGTGAATTCACCAAAATGTTTTAGAATTGACTGGATTGTAGTAATTTGGTTCACATTAAATTTGACAATTCCAGACAATTTCATACATTTTTATACCATTTCAATGGGAAAGAAGAAATATCTTAAATTCTTGCACATTCGTTTCAATTTTTTGCGTGAGAAATGCCCCTAGGGGCTGACTACGTTTCAGAAAATTGAAAATAATGCTAGATTTTATAATTTTTTTCAATCAATATATTATTTACAACTGTGACATTTTTCGAACTTTCTCCAGAAACGTTTCACTGTAAATGATAACTTAATATTTTGCATTGTTATTAAAACGAATATGCATTTCTGTCGGTTTACTGTCAGAAGATTCATCAAATTGTGGTGGTCAAAAGTATCGTTCATAGTGGATTATAGATTTAGTCAAATATTTGAGTTAACATACAGATGGTATTAAAACTGAATGATAGAAACGAATTTCGTAGATGAAAAATTCGCGGTTTCCCCCCAGCAATTTTGTGTGTGTGTTCATTTTTTCTTTAAATATTATTGCTTTTACTGAGAATAACACGATTTTATTACAAAATATTTGCATGAATACAAAGACCATCCAAATGATCCCAATGGAAAAATTACGAATATTTGTACCGCATTTATTCTGTCGAAAACGGAAATTATTACGAATGCCCATTGTGTGGATGACGCTCCATATGTTTATGTGGTAGCTGGTACGAAAGATGTATTAGATGCAAACCAGAAAATTAAAATCAAAGTCAAAAAAGAGAACATTGCATATCACCCTTATTATAGTCATTTAATTGATGTCGCATTTGATATTGCCAAAATTACACTGAAAACGCCGTTAAAATTCAGCGATACCGTTGGTAGTATCGAACTCGTGGATAAGAATTACAAATTAAATAACCCATCAGAAGTGGTCACCGTATATGGGTATGGTGTGTTGAACAACACCGGACCAATGATACTGAGGCGTTGTGATGCGAAATATATATCTGATGCCAACGCATCTAAACTAAGTCAGACTTTGTACTTTACAACTGGTGAAGCTGCGAATGATGGCGAAATTCTTACTCACGGCGATTCCGGTGGACCAGTTGTTTCAAAAAGAAATGGCAAAATAGTGGGGATAGCAATGGGTGGAACAGCAGATGGTCGCGGAGCGTTCCTTCCAATTACTCTATTTCTTGATTTTATTCGTGACCCAAAGGTATCTAATCACAATGCCCCAAAGTTTATTCTCAACAACGCAAACAAAATCATTTTTTGCATTAATTTCAGAGCGTGAAACCAATACCACCTCAGCTTACACCTAACGAAGCTAAATTTATAGCCGATATAACGGTACCGGGAAGTAAGTGTGCATTCGAAATTCGAACTAAATCAAACCGTTTTTAACGTCACTTTTTTTATTTTAAATAGAGGAGAGGCAAAAGTGGAGATTTTTCATGATTCATAAACATAAATATTCATTCTGAGATGTTTTTCTATTACAGAATTTCTTACTGCTAATAAAGAAGATTTTGCCGATGATGACGAAGATTCCGAACTAAAATTTAATGCAATCATTTTGTCGGAAACGGAGATTTTGACCTGTGCGCATAATGTGCACGGCGCCCCATATGTCTACGTAACCGTTAATAAACTATCAAGAAATGCGACAAAAATTAAAGTCACTGAAGACCAGATAGAAATTCATGAGAAATACGCATTGTCGGGATTGACATTTGACATTGCCAAGATTATACTTAAAGAACCGTTGGAGTTCAACAATAACGTCGGCAGCATAGATTTGGTGGACAAAGATTACAAAATGAATGACCCGTCCGAAATGGTCACTGTCTACGGTGATGTGATATTGTATGGAACAATGAGAACGAGACGTTATGATACAAAGTATTTGGATGGCGCCCAATGCAAACCGAAATTGGGCGCTGTATTTGATGCAAATCATTTGATGTGTTACACTTTAGATGAAAGCATGGGAACTCCCTTTACGTTTGGAGGTCCAATTATTTCGAAAAAGAATAACAAACTCGTGGGCATGACCATATATCGTTTTCTTGATAAACCGGTTATTTTTCAACCGATTGCACCGTTGCTTGATTGGATCCGGAAGCCAAAGGTGAGACGTAATCAAAGAAGAGGAATATAGGCTTGGAAAAAGGGATTTCAGGCGCCTGAAAGAGCTGAATACCGTCTCTTTTTTTGTCCCTGTCATTTGATGTTCAACAAAAGAACCAAATAAATTTGAAAATTTTAGAAAAATGCATTTTATTCTTTATTCGCCCATGCGCAGTTATATGATTATCTGAAATAATTGCGATATATATTACAACGAGGTTTTTACACGAACTTCCCATGTAGACCGGCCAACACACAGGCAAAAACCAAAAAAAGTGTAACAAAATGTTAAAACTATGATTTCAACATTGCAATCATAAAATTGACACCTATAGAACGAATGAACAACTTATGAGCTCTTTATCCATAACTGAGACGTAAAAAACTTCGAACAAAAAACAGACAAATAAAGCTGCGAGCAATGTGTCACTTTTGCTACTCAGCATTGAGCGGGAAAGACGTTTTTTGCATTTTTCTCACTACTGAAAATAGATAACGATTAGGTGTCTTCGGCATTATTGTAGGAAATAAAAAGAACCACAAAAAAGTATAAACATAACAATAATATATTAATGATTTACGAAATTTGAAAGGGACTAATGAAAACAAAATACCATGTCAACAGCACAAGAAACCATAGATATCCGACGAGTACTAACACAAGGCCGCGTTTCGAAAGAGCACGTACCAATCTTGGACTCAAAAGCATTTACCGTAATTGCACTGAGCTCTATCTCGAATATATGCCAACCAATTGCCTACTGAATATTCTCTTAACACATTAAAACGCGACTCAAGGAAATTATTCTTATGTGATCGTCATTTCTCTTCTAATTGGACAAAAAATTAAATGATGAAGTGGAAAAAAATAATCCTTATATTTTTCCCTGAGTAATGTGGTCATAATTTGTATCACGGAGGACGATAGTCCGACAAGTGACGCTCCAATAACTGTGAATTTCAAGCCAAATATCAAAAATGCCAGTTTTTGCGTCACGAGTATATATAAGGGAAAGTCGGATCAGTTGGGACGGGTTAGCCTTGGAAGTAAGAACTTTCATTTGGATAAAGATTTTTCAAAGGATATGGTACCGTTGGAAAGGTATTCACCAAAGCTAACTTTTCGCCGAAGAGAGTCCTTCGATTATGTTGCTGAAAAAAAAGTTATGTCGATTTTTACAAGTGTAATATTTTTGGCCAAAAAAAAGTTGTCGGGTCAGTTGGGACACCACCTAAAATCTGAAAAATAAGCTATGAAATGAAAGAATGACACCATATATTGACTTCTTGAACCGTGTTTATTCATTTATCCATCGTTTACATAAAATTTGATGATGATTATTCGTCGCTTTCATCGGCATTATCGTCTGGTTCGTCATATTCCGATTCACAATTTTCGCAGATGAATCCGCCGGCATACATTTTGGCGCATTTTAAGTGCACTGGTCTTTCACAGGAGTGGCATTTGACAGAATTTTGCTTCGTGAGTTTCTTCGGCAGATATTGCATACATATAATGCAAAAGTCTTCATCTTCAGATGAGCTTGAAGCCATCCACCGGCGTTTGGATGGTGCCTTCGATTTGGTGGCATTTTTTTTCCTTGCTCATCAAATTTCTGTACGTACCGACCAAGGCTTCTATTCGGTATTCCGTATGCAGCTGAACACGAACGAATTGATTTTTTTCCAATTTTTATGTCCTTCATCGCTTGCACCAGTGCGGCAAAATTGATGATTCCGTGATCAGTTTTTCGGGAATGGTGTGGCATTTTGGAAACTAAATTTGGTTTAAAACTCATTAAAAATTGTTTTAAATTCAAATTCATACAAATTGACCATTTTTGGTGGGCTCATTAACATATTTCGGAAACACCTGCACTTTTGATATTTTGTGCATAGTTTCTACAACGTTTCAATAGTAAATCACAGAGGTTTCATCGAAAAATATTCATGAATTTCAAAAATATAGCAATTTGAATTTGTACTGTGTGAAAAATGATCAAATTTGTATGAAGATTTCTCTCTGTGATTTACTATTGAAACGTTGTAGAAACTATGTACAAAATATCAAGAGTGCAGGTGTTTCCGAAATATGTTAATGAGTCCACCAAAAATGGTCAATTTGTATGAAAAATAAATAGTCTTACCTCCGTAAGACGAACTTTTCCGCACCGTTTTCATAGCGTTCAGCTTTAATTCAGATTTTGCCTAGGAAATTTATAAGAATTTTCAGAAAAAAACAACAGTACGTTCATGTATTTTATGGAAAATTGTATTATGATTCCGAAAATCTTGATGTTGGGTATTCAAATGAAATGAAACGTCTGATTGTTTTTATTGTCGTCTGAATACTCCCAATGAGCCATTAATGGTGAATTGCATCACGAAATTGTATGAAAATATGCCTAATTTATGCATAAATCGTCACGTTTTTTGTATCAAATCACCAAATTGCGTTCACCAAATTTATAATGAACATATCGATTGACAAATCATTTAAGAATTCTGTTCCAACAATTTGATTTGTGATCGATTCTAGATCTGTATTCTTCGTAGTTTCACACAAGTCTTCGATTTCGTAGTAAAATCCATCCTCTTCCAACTCGGGAAAATTCACATTGTTGAGAATAAATGAGACTTCAGAGGCGCCATCACATTCGCTATCAGAATCACTATTCAATACCGATTGGATACGGAAAAAAGGTAGGTTAGCGGGTGCTAGGTTGTTCCTGGGCCCTTATTAATTTGATGAAATAAATCGAGTGAAAGTGATAAAATCCACCTGGGGAGCCCATTTTGGGTACCTCCCGAACAAAAGTTCGATTTTTCAAGGAATTTTGAACTAACATACCGATTTAATACCAAAAAAGAGGGTTAGTGGGTGCTAGGTTGTTCCTGGGCCCCTATTAATTTGATGAAATAAATCGAGTGAGCATGATAAAACCCACCTGGGTAGCCCGAACAAAAGTTCGATTTTTTGAAGGTTTTTCATAGGCTAGGTATCCTAGGGTACATCTGCGGTGGCTGAAAATTTAATGGTTTCCAAGTCCAACGAATCAAAAACGTTTGGTACTTGCAGATGAATACTCCTATTCTGGTATTTGAGCAATCGCGCTAAAAAAAATTCGCGTACAGCGTACAGCGCACAGCGTACAGGGTACGACACACCCACATTAACAGAGCAAAATAACCACTGTATCGTGCTTTTTGGTGTCGAAAATGGATAGAAAAATGGTTTTTCGGGGTACCTAGGTTTTGGAGTGATTACAATACTTTTACTCACGACATGGGCGTGCGAAAAAGTAATACCTAGTGGTTCCAAACTTTTGCACGGTAGTGTACATTCAACGAGATGTTAAACATATTTTCCTTCGAAAATTGTTGGAAAAATAATCACTTTGTTATGGTCTGCAAAGTGTTGGATTTTACTATTTTTTCACAAATTTTACACGCTATTCAGCTCGTAATCAACAAACACGTTTTGACTGTCGGAGAGTGACTAAATAGTGTTCATTTGGCGTGTAAATAACACTCCAGAAGTTTCGTTTGGTTACGACTGACAGATGTCAAAAAAGTGGCAGTGTCCCAACTGACCCGCTGTCCCAACTGACCCGACTTTACCCGCGGGGGTATCATTACACTAACAACAACATCATTTGCAAAATGAAATTCGTCCAAAACCTGCTGACACGGAGTAAACGCGCTCACTTTGCAAACGCACTTGTTCATCTTGCCGGTTTGACAGCTAATGTCAAATCGACTTCTGTTTCAGTGTAGTTTTCTATTCGAACGCAAGCGTTTTCTCAGTATGGTCCGCAAAATTAAAAAAAAAACAATTCTGCCACGAACCAGTTTCCATTTTGAATCTAACATTTTGTGTTTTTTTTAATTATAGAAACTCCAATATATCATATAAAAAATATTTGCACAATTTTATTTGACAGAATCGAAACATTTTTATTTATTTAAAATTCAAATAATTATTATTATTTCATCACACAACACAATGACGACTATGTTTGATACTGCATTGAATACACTCATCAATGTAGTTCCCGTCAAAATGTGTGGCGTTGTTGGTTTGACGTTTAATGATCGAGACTATCGCGGTGACATTACATTACAGTAAATATGCTATTTTCTCAGGACACTATTTGGGCCCCGGCATGTTAGGTACCGTTCGAAAGGTCTTGGCCCAAATAGTCGGAAACATCATATCCCCCATGCCTAAAGTGTGGTCTAGGCAAAAATATAGCGGTTGGAAAATTTCGATAAATTTTCAAATCTATACCCATATCTTACGAAGGGGGTACACAGGGGGTGGTCTGAGGTGTCCAAGAGAAGCTCCACCTCGCCACCTTCCCAACGCCGGTCTAAGTGCCCTGATTGGTCCAAAAACGAAAAAGTTATGCACAGTCAAAAATAAATGACCGCATTTAGGCGGAATTTCGACTGGTAGAGGCGCCCAGTCCTATATTTTGCCTAGCAAACGGAGTTTCAGACGAAATATCGACTAGATCATAGGCGGAATTTCGCCTGTAGCTCAAGGTACTAGCAGAAATATCGGCTGAATGAGTCTTTAGCTGAAAAAACGCCCAGATGTAGACTTTTATTTTTTGCTGTGTGGGCATTGGCAGTTTGAGCATGGTTTTTTTTTTGAAAGTATTGATTTGTGCGTCCGTCCGTCCGTTCGTTCGTTCGTTCGTCTGTCCGGAAACTTTTTTGACCTCCACAGATTCCGGTGCCGATATGTCCAAGCTGTAGCTGGTGTCGGGCCACATCGAGACCTGTCCTCAGATTGACATTTGCATTTTTTTATTTATTTATTTATTTATTGATTACTTCATGGTTGCTCCTGATATGTACAATGTCTTATATCTATTTAAAATTATTACTTTTCTATGACCACACTACTGAGTATCAGATATTTTTTATAATATTTGAGTCATCGTGTGCTCTTTTTCAATTTACCAGTCCATTTATATACATTTTTAGGACCAAAACTTTTTTACATTTTTTGCATTACAGGAGAGCTGGCTATGGCTTCGCTAGCCTGCATGTATACGATTTTTTCAAGTATTTATTTCGCACACTAGATCAACTCAAATACCCATCGGGCAAAGTCAGCTCGTAATTATTTGAGAAGACCTTCAAAAAGTTCCATACACACATGCCAATGTTTATGTGATATGAAGG